TGTGCTCGTTAAGGGGTTAAACAGAAATCTTCTTCCTGTTCAATTTTTCAAATCAGGCAAACGCGTGTCAAGGTTCGTTCCACGAAATTTTCACAAATTTGCCGAACCTTTCCGCCCGAAGGATCGACTCGTGCAGTCTCGTGAGCACCGTCGGCTTTGCCTCGCGAAATTTTCCCCGATTTTTGCGCACCCCGTGCCAAGTATTTCGGTCGTACAGCTGATTCGAAGGAGGACGAACGGCGATCACGCTATTTCGATTGTTCTACATCGAGTAGAATAGAAACTGGTCCAGCGACGGCGCGCTCTCGATCAGAAGAGTCGTCGGGTTGGCCAAGTCGTGATTCAACAGCAGGCTGGCTTGTGCTCGCTACGTGTGCCAGGGAGTGGTGGCGACACGCGCGTACACGTGCTCCGTGTCGGTGGTATTCCAGTGAATCAACAAGTGTCGTGGCTCTCTCTAGCCATGGCGATGCACCGACGCGGTCCGGATTCCAATAAACCGGTCAAACCGAGCGCGGGCCGGCCGCTACACGCGCAAAAACTATCCGAAGGAACCCGTTTCTTATCGAAAATTCGATGTCGACGCGAGTGCCTAGCGTGCTGACAAGTGCCGCGTGCTATTGCCCCGCGTTTCACGCTCGTCCTGTGCTCGTCTCACGGCCACTACCACGGGGATTAAGCGTCGCGACGCTGTCCACACTTGGAGACAGTTTATGCGCGCTGGCGTCGAGAAGTGTTTGGGAGTTATTAAGTGTGATTTATTCAACTTAGAATTAAGTTTCTTTGGGGATGTTGGTGTTTTCGTATTTTCCCGCCTTTTTTTCGGGCTTTTATTTTCGGGGTTTTCTTGGGGGGAACGGTATCTGTGTATTTCTCGTATCTTTGTTTCTCGGAAATATTTTCAGGGAATAGTGATATCTGAGTATTGTCCTTATTTTCGTGGGATATTTTTAGGGAAAAGGTGGTATTCGAGTATTTTTCGCGCTCTTATTTTTGGGAGATAGTTTTAGGGAAGAAATCGTATCCGAGTATTTTTCGCATCTCGATTTTC